TTAAAAATACCCATGAAGAATTCCACAGTTGAATTTGCTACCTCTAGTTGATGAATTCTAGGGCTAAAATAACCTTACCACTAGCATCAAATTGAATTCAACTTCAAAGGTCAAGTGAGATTTGGCCATGTTTAACAATTGCCTGATTTAACAAGTGCTCACTTGAATTAATGGACAATCTATTTTGAACTAATAACCATCCGTTCTGCAGAACACCTTCATAGTATTATTATATGTTTTACTCAGCCATTTTGGGCAATTTTGCCTTCACTAAACTTACCAAAAGCAAATAAAATAGAACGTTTAAATACAGCCTCTATAAATTTGGTTTTGTAATCACTTTGAAAGCATGCACATATTTTAATACATTATAGAACAAATATATAGTAGAAAAGAAATTAAAATAAAAACACTCACCTTTGAATATTACTGCAACTTCATGCAAATCGCTATCCTCCAAAAATGAAAACACATCTTCCACAGAAAGGTTCTCCATAGCGGCGAATTTTTAACTTTTTATTAAACTTCTTTACAGTAAAAATTTAATACATGTATGCTGTTTTATATACTTTGACTTCCGGTTTCGCGCGTTTGTCAATTGCCAGACTCTCGGGTTGCATTTTTCTGTGAAACGCCCATCGCTCGGGAACGAATTTGTTGTCAAATCCCCCAGAGATGCCCGCCCTCCCAGGGGTGGTGGAAACAAATGATAGGTGCATAATATGGCAATGAAGATTATTATGGTAGTTGCTTTATAGTGGGCCAATGCATGTGTTCAATTCACTAGTCAAGACTAGTCAGTAGTCTGGTTTAGGAATACCCAAAAATGTGTTGAATGTGAGTTTCGAAAAATTACATGCAGTAACAAGGCTTTATATGATTTATTTTAGGATGCATACTCTGTTTCATTGAAGGTTTTCTGCGAAGTATTGGATATACCAGAACGGCAGAAAAATGAATTGTTGTAAATAATCTAAATAAAAGCTGAAAATTAGTATACGCCAAAACACAATCACAAACTAAATTTCATACTCTTTCGTTTCATTGTTTGTCCCATAAGAAATATAATAGATTCTCCGTGTTGATATATACTGTTATATTTGAACACGAGTGGAATTAGAAAAACGATAAATTGTGCAGAAACACGTGTTTATCGATGCATATATTATTAAGAGTTAGGTCAACATGGCTGTTAGCCATGTCCCATGGAGCATGTTCATGTTCAGAATTTACAAATGCTACAATAATTTTGATTAGATTTTACACATGAAAAGCTTGTCATTTAAAACATGCCTGGCGACTATAAAAGCTGAAATGGAGAAAGATTTTATGTAACCAGTTTTAACGCAATACAGTGGCGTAGCTTGCGAAATTTGACTAGTCCTGCTCTAAGACCCACACATTCTACGGGGGTCTGGGGGCATGCTCCCCCGGGAAATTTTGAATTTTAGAAGTCTGGAATGGCCATTTCCTGCGATTTCACGGCGAAATACTCCAAAGGGAACATCAAAAAATTGCGTGATTAGCGGAAAATTTTTGATAATTTTTTTAGAAAAAAAATATTGTAACTTTTTGAAATCCATGCATTTTTTTATCATATTTCACTATATATTTTTCAACTTAGCTGAAAATGTAACTAAATATAGTCACGAAAGAGGAAAATATCATGTATACAATACGCGTCTGTAATACGATCTTTCACTTGATCAACACATAATCCAACCTCATGCACATAGTCAACAATTGCGTAACTATTATACTGTTGAACACGGCGTTTTATACACTATAACGCTACCGCTAGCATTCGTTAAAAATTCACTACGTTTGTTAGTAATGTGTTAAGCTTTATATAATGGAGTGGTATCAACTACAGATCACTACGCCTGGCACTCAGCACTCTGAATGTAATTCAGTACGCTATGCCTATGGTATTAATATAGCGTTTAATAATATAGTGTATGCGGCCAAATATCTACATTTAAAACAGTGTGAATTGGTACACAGTATATCATTTTTAAAATTAAACTCCATATAAGTGCTCGTTTCAAATGCACAAAGCAGATGAACTGGCAGTAAATATTACGTTCTTACTTTATATCAATACGACAATCTTCACAAATGAAGTTTGTATTCCCCATTATATTGTATTATAAAAATACACAATCATCAGTCGAGTCTGTTCACATGCATTTCGTGAGCTAAAATATCTTAGCAGAAGCCAGAAATTATATCAAAATCACACTGGGCTTCCACACTCGTTGATTTCCATATTCATAACTTGAGTAATCTCGACAGAATTAGTAAAAAGTGTGTTTAGTCACGCGGAAAGCTCGCAAGTAAAGACAATACAAGGCCAAGTCCTGCCATTTCGAGAGAGCAGGACTTCGCATTTGTAAACAGTTGGTTTGAGCATGCGCAGACCTAATTATCCAATCAGAAACCAAGATTTCTTGTATGAGTTTACTATGAAATATACTAGCAAGTCCTGCCATTTGAAAATGGCAGGACTGAAACACGAGCGCGTGTAAATCAATGTAGAATTGCAGTTGCTAGGTAACAGACCCGGCAAGCTGTAAAATTGCGTAAATATAACACAATGCGAAAAACGTTTTAAAAAATAATAACGAAAAAGACGAGAAAATGAGACAAAATAACAATATGATAATGATAAATTTTTAAAGCTTCAAGAGAAATAAAGCAATGTTTTAGTAAGGAAATTTGGGGAAATTTTTAGTCCTGCTGGGCAGGACAAGCAGGACCGCTAGCTACGCCACTGACGCAATACATGCAATGTCAATGTAATGGCAAAGTCGGTTTGATATAAAAATGTTCATCGAATAATAAGATTTATCACGTATATATTATAGGAAAACTTTCTCTGTTTTAGGAGTTATTGTTGTTCTACATTCTCACAAGCGGTATAAGTCATTGCGTTGTAAAATACATTATCTGTTTCCAATAGTCTATACACATCGTTCTTTACTCTATAGCTTTACTTTTCAGACTTTTTTCTTTTTTTCTTTCCATTTTCCGTTGCTGTTGCTGTACCATCATAGAATTCCTGTGACTTGTACTGTATCCCCCCCATTGTGTACAGATGCGTCAGCTTTGTTTGCCCTCTGCCGTTTGTACTTTTTTCTTCGATTCTTAACAGTGGATTTCTCTTTGTATTCTGCTGTGTCTAATCTTTTCTTATCCACTTCCATTCCTTCACCATATTGTCATCAACATTTAACCCTATCTTCGGCAACAACTGTGAATAGGTAACTTCCATGCCGCTGTTGAATAGCAAGCAACCAAGACTGACTGCTAAACTGGTTTCACGGGGAGACGTGTACTGATCTTTGGGAGCAAGCCCCCAAATGACATGATGTAAAGACTCATTTGGATTTTGAGTCGCACACTTTTCACAACCAGCGAGAAAGTTTGCATCACCCAAGCGATCAAATACGGGTTTAATTACCTCGACAATGGCTGAAGTAAACGGATTCTTTATAGGTATATGCAATGCTGTATTATTTGTAACATCTCTTTGATACAAACACCACGAGTCCTTTCCCCACAGGACAAAATTTATGTTGAGGTTTTTCTGCAGTGCTAGCATAATGGTACAATATGGCTTTGGTAGCCTTAGCCATTGCTTTCGAATCGCCTTTATTTCACCGAATGGATAGCGTCAATCCTTGTAATGGTTAATCTACCAGCTCCACTCAAACCCTTGCCGTCTGATAGTTTTTTCCCGTATAAAAATAACATGAAAATGACTGAGCTTGTTAGATTACCGTCTATGTCACATATTTAGCTCTTATACATAAGAGAAAACATTTCTGTTTCTGTTTGATAGCTCGCTTCTTTCACTAACGTGAAAAATATATAATTCTGGTTCGCAAAAAAGTAACCGCAAAACGCACAATCACAGCTTTCGCGCTTATTCAGTATACTTGCATGTCAAAACATACACGTTTCATCGGCATGTAAGTACAATACACAGCACAAGTGACAAATTAAACATAGCATTCATCTTATCAAATAATCAAGCATAGTTGTTTCACCCTATATACAGTACAGTATAGTATAGTTTCAATATAAAACAAAACATATAGCATATTGCACCTTCGCAAATTATTAAGCATATGGTTGCTTCATTCTACAATCGTTATGTTACAACCTATATGTCATTGATAATTTGAAAAGGTGCATGCTATGTTTTGTTTTATATTCAAACTATACTGTTATTGACTAACTGTCACGATGTTTGCTTATAGTGCACATTTCAAGTGAAAACAATTAGTGTTGTTTTTAAAAATTACCTTTATAATCACAGATGAGTGATCTTAGATTTGTTCCCATTCTTTTCGTCACATGCGCTATGTAATCTACTTTCAGAATAAACACTGTTTCCCCATATGGTTTCTCTATGCAAATGCGGTTATAGGACAAAGAATCTCCATCACCAATAAATGGGATATACCGTAACTTCCGCTTCTCAATTGATCTTTGATACAGTTGAAACACCCCTGATGATTCCATTGACTAAAAAATATATTGCGCAAATGATTAATCATCAAACTAACAGATTGACACATACTCATGCATATTATGTAAATCTTATAGTGAGAATTTTTATACCTGTGCACTCCCTTCATGATTGAGTAGACAATTGGGCTCATGAGCGATATAGCAAGATAGATAGTCTAATCAGTTCAAATCTCCTCTTGCTCTTTTTTCTTCCATTTCTTTGCACTGTTTGCACTCTCTTGTCATGTACACCACGTCTAGAACTTTCCCTGTATCTTCTGAAACCGCCGCAACTAGACCGTCACGCGCAGACCAACCCTGTGAACTCCATGAACAGTCAAAGCTTGCACCAACAACTTTTTCTGCCAATTCTTCATCCGTACAATCCGCAATTTCACCTACTGTTCTTTTAAGTTGTTTCAGTTGCGACGCTGCTTGATTGAAGTCAATCTCTGTAAGATCTTTCACCTTCTCCTCAATTAGCATTGTGTGTTTATCCCACGTGTAGACCGGAGTAAGACCAAGAAAACTAAGGCTTTTTTGCGCGGCAGAACGTCCTTTCCCGATAGCTCGAAAACCAATAACTGATGCACGGTTAACATTGTATCATTTATCGGACTTAGGCGAAATTGGGATGAACTAACTGGACGCACGTGATACACATAACTCACTGGTGCAACGAAAGTTCCATTTGGCCCCAAGACCTTGTTTTGAACCAAGCTTTTCCACAATATGCAGGAGACTGTGACAAGCTTTGCATACAGCAGAAGATTCCAACATCTGCTCCAAGTTATAAGGACAAACAATATAGTTCCCAGTTGGCTTCGAAAAGACCGAGCATGCCTCATCAACTTCCTCATCTTCGCTGCTACCACGTAGTGATTCTAGGTCAGAAGTGTCTGATTCGTTAGCGCAGTTATTCGCGAGTACTCAGGTGCGTTAATGACTGGGTCAAAAAGTTATTAGTTTCCAGTGCCTTTTGGGAAAGTAGCGAATTTAGGCGTACAATTTCCGTCTTTTTTTTCAAACATGGCGTCGATGAGAGTGGTGTTTATTTTATATATAATAAATCGAAGATTTTGGCAAGAAACTGTTTCTGTATTAATGCCGATCGTGGTTATAGTTTGTTTAAAGGTTTGTATTCTATTTATTGGTACTTTTTTCCTAGTGTAACCTTTAAGGCTTTGTAGTTCCGCTTTGTTTTATATTATATTTCATGGCACTAATATTATATAAAATTCCATAATACTGTCATTGAAAGTCAGTATTAGGAAGGATTATAGCTTGTGTTTATACTAATTCTAACAATGGCCATAGCCCAAATTCCCTGGTCGCTAGTAAACAGATTTACTCACAAAATTCTAGGAGTAAATCATATGTCTTACCTGCTGAGAGTTGCACTTTAAAGTGAGCCAACCAGATGTCCTGATACATTCCATATAAACATATAAATTTAATAGTGGCAGCAAGCTACTGTATGTTCTAAAATCCATTCCAAGTCATTCTATAATTTTTACCAAGAACCAAACACAAGACTGTGGAGACAAGAACGCTTGTTATGGCCTTGTCTCCACTTGTTTTAATACATTTAATTGAAGAATCAATTTCATATGATACAAATATTTACATCTTGTGGTGTATTGACTCATTTTGGTGCTCTTTATTAAAATATCTAGGACTTCAAGGTCCTAAGAATGGTGAGAGCCTACTTCCATTTCAGTACTATTCAAACCTATTTCATGTCCCATTAGATCTGGATAGCTATTCAATATATACTGTGTATATATCCATATTTAACCCATTGAGTCGCAATGCACCCCAGTGCGCCCTACTTATATTTTTTAACTTGTCTCATGCCAGATGATTTTACTTGCCATTGAGCCGCAATGCACCCCTCTGTGCCCTACTTTTTTTTACTTGTCTAACGCATGATGATTTTACTTGTCAATGGGAAGCTCTGCAGCTTAATGGCTTAAAGTAGCATGATTTAAATTTTTGCGTAGTGCAGTCGACTTTGTATTATTGATTTGATAATGTTAATAGTGTTGTATTCAATTTTAATGCTATGTAATTATACTGCATTTTAATAATAGTAAATTTGTTAATGATGTATTTATAGAACTCTATTAGTTAAAAACACAGTTAAGATTGAACTAGCTGCCGAAAGACACAATATCTTGACAACCTGCTGCCGAAAGACGGTTCATCTTGACAGCACAAGAGTTTTCACTATGGTGGTGTTTCACATAGTTTATGCAAGCTATTAGATTTTATTAAGTTATTTAGGTTTATATTATTTAAACAAGGTATACACATTAATTCCTTGTATGTTAGGCTACAGTAGCTATATATTTAGAAAATACTGGACTAATAAAAACACAGTCAAGATCCAACTGGTTGCCAAAAGACACAATATCTTGACAACCTGCTGCCGAAAGACGATTCATCTTGACAGCACAAGAGTTTTCACTAGGACTGTGTTTCACATAATTTATACAAGTTATTAGATTTTATTAAGTTGTTCATATTATTTAGATAGGTTACTCATTAATTCCTTGCCACAACCTGTTGCCAAGTTATGCAGTTAATGCCCCACACTTTCCCTTTGAGCGCTAAAATCATCTAGCATTAGACATAGTAAAATAACAAAGTAGAGCACATTCAAACATAATTAGTTAAATATTATCCTGGTTATCAATCTTGTTTACTTTATCCAACTTAATTAACTTTTGATTTATACTTCATTTTGTAGAGCCTCTTTAATGTATCTCAGCTGTGGATTTTCTCTGCATTCAACATGGTCAATAATTTCAAAAGAGTGGGCTTTTTTGTGGGGTTAATATCAGTAGCTGCATTTGCTAACTGTAATAGGATTGTGCTGCTGATTTTCTTCCCAGTTGTAACACAAGATCCGTTCAAGACTTCTGGTACAATGTGTTTGTACACTTCCCTCTATTTTATCGCCATTGGTCAAGAGATTTCCCAAACTTTCCCGATGTCAATTAAAATTATGTATCCCTTATTTTGTGCAACCAACACATTATTGGACTTCAAGCCACAGTGGAGATATCCTCTTTGGTGCATGTGGTCAAGTGCATCAGTGATGTCATAACATATGCAGAGTCATGTTTTGGTTGACATTTCTGAAGCTTGATGTTGGTACAGTGAATCAAATAGCAACTTGAACAATGTTATAGACTGACTGTTCTCTCCAATAAATTGCATTATCAGGGAGATTGACTTTTTGTCTAGCTGCACCCCAAGTAAGAATGGGATACACATGTGTGACAATTTTGGCAAAAATATTGCTTCTTTATATAGCATATCAGCAGGCTGTCTGTCAACTGCTTTTCAACAACTGTTATTCCTAATCTAATGAATTTTTTAGGGAAGCAATTGCCAAAAACTCCATTCCCTATTGATTCATTGCTCATTTCCTCCAATTCTTCATGTTGAATAGTTGTAACATCCACTGTACAAGTACTTGAGCTGGACATGTTCAACTGAGTTACCTTTAATTTGAAATTTAATGACTGTTTATTAGTGATTTGTATGGCCATACCAGGTTTTGTAATCAAGGGGTATTGAACTTGGTTGGGTTGATGGATTTTTTTATAGCTTTATATTTATATTTTAGTTCCTTAATTGTATCTTAGCTAATAGTGTGTGACCAACAAACCCTTTGATATAGTTTACAGTATGTCATGATTCTCTTCTTGGCAGGAAGTCTCAT